TCTCTCTCTCTCTCTCTCTCTCTCTCTCTCTCTCTCTCTCTCTATCTATCTATCTATCTATCTATCTATCTCTATCTATCTCTCTATCTCTCTCTCTCTCATTTTTATTATTATTTTTATGGTCCATATCTCGATTGAAGTGTGTCATCGTCGTAATGGGGGGAGAAACACTGGGGCCACCAGCGGAGTCTCCCTCCATCCCCAAGCCCTGCCCTCCATCAACTATCCTCAGGGCGCCTATTGTATCCAAATGTTAAACAGTAAAGATTCCTATGCTGAGATGGAACCGGGCCCATCGTCCCTTAATTATCGCAATGAATGAGCAGAAATCAGCAGAAACCAAAGATAAGCAAGGGAGCTAAGCAGAAATGAGGCCTGAGATAGCCTGAAACTAGCTGAAAATAGACTGATCTGCGACAGGCTGTATCCCACTAGATCCTACCATGAGGCCCCTGGGGTCATGAAGGCGGTAATCTTTCTTCCAAGGACAGCGGGTGGGGGGGGGGGAACGGATCTGCGAAATCCTGTTCAACACGTAGCGGGCTGGCCGGATCTATCTTAGTCCAGTCGTGAAAAATCAGTTGGTAGTCTCTTACCATCTCCATCCGGGGTTCCTCCTGTGGTTCTCTTTCAGGCTGATAATCCCCGGTCCATTTTACCTCAGCCACCGATCCCTTCCTTTCCCCTCCCAGCCAGTCCTTGCTAAGACAGGAGATAATCCTGTTCATATCCCCCCAGGTATGCATTTGGTCCAGCTTGTCTTTGGCTGCCTTCCATCGGGTCGCAATCTCGTGTTGCACCAATGTTCGTATTTGTTTCATTACTTCTTCGTCTTCCACTTGCGCCCCCTCTACCTCCAGGATACATCTCTTCCACCATATGGCCCATAGGACGCTCGGTCTTCCCAGGTTAAACATATTTTCCTCAAATTTATTTCCCTGGATTTTAGGGCAGTACCCTAAGAGTATGGCCCGCCAATCCCATGGTCGTACTGCACCAGGAACAATGTGCCG